AGGCCACTGAGGCCCAGTCCGCTGGGCCCCCGGAGCGGCCGGGAGCGTGGCCGGCACTGGGGGCTGAGGCCCCGCTGTCTCTGAGTGCCAAGGTTTGGGGGTCCAGGCTGCGCGGCAGGGGGCCTGGCTGAGGGGCCCCTCAAGCACGGCTGCCCCAACCCGCTGTCTGCCCAGCCCCTGCCTTCTGCCTGGTGGGGCCGGCTGGCGCCCCAACTGCTCCCGCACGGCAAGGTGCGGCTCCCCGGAAGCCCTTTCCCTGGGGGGTGCAGGCGACCCCGAGCCCTCAGCTCGCTGGACGGGGTCCTGGAGCCCCCCTGAGCTGCACCGCCCTGTACCCCAGGATCTGTGCAATGACTGTCCACATGGGCAGAGGTCACTGTGCGCCCCGCTTCTGCCCCGAAGGCCTGGGGAGTGGGGCTGGGTGCTGCTGACCTGCTGGAAGGGCCGGGGCGATTCCCCCCTCTCTGGGGCAGCGGAAGGCGGCGGGTGGGGACGGGCACCCTGCAGGGCGGGGAGGGCCAGGGCGGGCTCGGGGTGCTGGTGTGCACTGCCAGCCAGCTAGTTCACCGTGTGGTGACTAGCAAACCAACCGATGAAGGAACCGTTGCCGCGGGGAGCCGAGCTGCCTGGGCGGTGAGCCCCGACCGGCTAGGCCGCCCCGAGAGGCTCCTCTGCACAGGGACACGTGTCCAGGGGGCGGCGCCCACGCTTTGGAGGGGCCCCCTGGTGCGAAAGTGCATTGACTAACCAGTTAACCGGACGACTAACTAGTACCGCTGACAAGTCAGCTGCTAACTAGTCGACTCGCCACCAGTGAACTAGCTGGCGGCTCAGCGCGCAGCTTCCTGGCGACCGACTGCGGGCCGCTCGCGGCGGCTGGGTCCTGGGCGGCTCTCAGCCAGGCAGCCGCCGGCCGGCCAGCCCAGCGGGTCCCGCGCAGGGGTGGGCAGTGCGGTCCGAGATGGGCCAGGAGCGCAGAAGGGCACATCGTGACCGCAGCACAGAGACGTCGGTGTGCTGAAGCCATCCCGGGCAGAGACGCCGGGACCTCCACGGGGACAGTTGGGTGGCCACCACGGTGGCCGAGGCTCCCAGGCCTGCCCAACGCGGCACCACCCCGGGCTGGGACAGGACCGCACGGCCCAGTGTGCAGAGAGCAAGTGGGTCACTGCTGTCCACGAGGGACAAGCAACCAGTTACTCGCTGAGTTACTCATCGCCTGGTCAGCTAGCAAGCTGGCCAGGAGTTAGCTAGTGGGCAGACACACTAACCCACTAACGAGCCAGATACCTAGCAACTAGCCGGCTGGCTGGCTGGCTGGCTGGCCGGCTAACTGGACAGCAGCCGACCCGCAGGCGCAGCGGGCCGCTCTCGGGCTGGCTGACTGCTCTTGCTGGACGGGGCCTCGGCCACACAGGCCTGGCCTGGCGGGGCTGTCCGTGGCGCGCAGAGAGCCTCTACCCAGGGTCCTCCTCCGGGGAGACCAGCGATGGCCCTGCGCCCTCGATGGGAAGGGCCACGGTGAATGGACTAAAGCTCCAGGTGACCTGAAGGCGACGGCTATGAGAAATTTCGGCCGCAGGGGAGAGACTGAGACCGGCTCTCCTGGGGAGAGGAGGCTCTAAAGTGCCCCGCCCCAAAGGCCCACCCGGGAGCCGGGCCTTTGGGGCGGCCAGCCACTGCCCGGGGCCCAGGCCACCAGACGCGTGGTGGGGCCCAGACATGCACAGGCCTAGCCGAGCGGCAGCCTGCGGGGCGGGGGGAAGCTCCCCCAGGACGAGAGGAGGCCCCGGAAAGAAGCCTGTGGCGGAGGACTCAAATCCCACAGGGACAGTGGAGACGCCCCCTCGGAGGGACCGCAGAGAAGGGGCTGGGGAGGCTGGGGGCCGCCGGTGGCACCGTCACCAGGTTCTGGCCAAACGGTTTCCGCGCTGTGGGGGCTCGCCCCTTGGGGGGGCAAGGAAAGGCAGGGCGGGCCTGGGTAGGGTGGCTCAGGTATTCATCTCCCATTTTTGTAAATGAGGAAACCCAGACTGAGCGCTGCACTGACCCCCCAGGAGCTGCGGGGTTGACCCCCAGCGGCCGGCCCGGGGCGGACCCACAGCGCCCCCCGGGGCAGGACGGGCGCTGCGCACCCTGCTCCGTGGTGCCCGCGCTTCCCCGCGCGCCCAGCAGGGGGAGACATGCAGCCAGGGCCGCGGCGCTCGGTGGGCCCACTGCGAGCCCA